AAGGGGACTTTAAAGGGTGAGTCGCTTGTTCCGGGTGAGATAGCGATGCCAAGCGAGTTCCAGCAAGAGGATAAAAACGACCAGGATGTAGCCAAAGATCAGCATGAGGAGCAGTGGTGCAACGTACTCCATGCCGACGGTAATCACAAAGTTCTGGGCCACGCAATGGAGCTTCATGTGGACCCAGTAGCTGCGCTGCTTGCGATAGACACCCGTTTCCAGGACACGCAAAAGTCTAAGGAGATATAACCGTGCAGGATACTTGTATCGAAGGACACTGGGAGCTCACCTCAAGCGAAACAACTCCTTGTAGGTGGAGTTGCGATGCAGATGCGTGTAGAACAATTGTTCGGGGCGAAACAATATCTCATTCAGATCACAGATCTCCTGGGCCGTAAAGAAGCGCTCCACGTAGGCATAGCCCGAGGACGTCTCAAAGACATAGACATAGCCCGGATTGTCCCTGACCCGCAGCACTCCCTCTTCGGCGGGCAACCAGAGGTCGTGGCTCTGAGACTGCGATTCGATCTTGCGCTTGATAAACAGCTGAATATCGGGACGTTTAGAGTACTGAAAGGAAAGTAAATCAAAGATTAAGAGTGGGCAAGTAGAGTAGAGTTGCAAAACTCACATTCAGATAGGCCTTGGTAAAGGGTAATGGCTCCAGGCCCACTGTCAGTTGGCTCTCGGCCAGCTGCTGCATTGTTCTGATCTTGGACTTGACCGGCGAACTCAGCAGCGAGGACACCACCACAGATGTGTAGTAGTTGTACATGATGAAGCTGATTAGGAAGAGGGCAAAGTAGATCAGACGTCCCCCATTGGAGCGTGGAATCAACGCAGAACTCTGTATGCAGGCGGCTCCAAAGCTGATCAGAAAGGTGCTCAGCAGCGAGGGCAGATAGTCGAGTGGCCGCCAGCCCCAGGTCATTCGCTTGCACTCCATGTAGAAGGTTACCCAGAGCAAGAGTCCAATCAGAGACAAAACCCCAGCGAACAGATACCACACGAGTGGACTGAACGGCTGCAGGAACACATCTCCGCGCAGGCCCGCGTTGTGAGGAGTGCGAAAGATGCACACCGAGCGGAAGAAGCCCGTCTCGATGATGGCCGACAGATACTTGAGCCGCCCCTCAGTTGCCAGCGAGGGTGTGGCTGTGATGTCTGCCGTCTGGTCGACCACAGCGCCCACGGCCCCACCCACCACATCCGATTTGCTCCAGCTGTCCGAGAAAATGAACTTCATTTGGCAGTGCAGCAGATCCCTAAGGATCAGCGTCAAGTGGAATCCAAAACGGGCTAAAGAGTCGATGTGTGTGTCGTTCTCTTGACTCAGAAACATAATCAGTTGATCATCCGGGCAGGAGAGCGGACGTTGGGTCACCACTGTTGCCACTGGAGAGACAGAGAGACAGAGAGAAACATTAGAAACAAAGCATTCCTCGTTAAGGACTCTCTACCTCTGAGTATCACATCGGTTAGCTCTTCTCTGTTGCGATACTTGGAACGCAGATGCAATGTGCTCAGGTATCGTTTGCTCTCACAACCACTGAGGTCACAGCCCATGGCATAGCTGGCTGTCATATTCAGCTGGCCGCCAATGGTTCTGCCATTGCTGTAGACATCAAAGCTGGCATAGACCACCGAGGAGTTGCTGTAAGTATATTCAGGTACCTCCTTCACGTAGCCGACATCGGCATCGATGGAAATGTTGAAGGGAGCAAAGAAATTATAGAAATCCATCTCCGATACGTTGCCATGAATCAGCCAATGGTAATGCTGATTATAAAGCTGCTCACGACTAGCCTGCAATGAGAATTGAGATTAAAATAATCCACAATAAATAGATTTGTTACCTCCTCTAGCAATCCTGCTGCCTTGTGACACTTCATGTCCACATATATGGCCAGTGTGGGCTGCAAATGGTCCAGGAAACGCAACTCCAGATCCTGCCAGTCCCGAACTTCGTGCATTTGCTGGAACTGATGGTAGATGAGGTGCGGATGCAGGGGCTTCATGAACTGCTGGGCAAACTCACGAACTGCAAGGAGAAGGAGAGAAGAAGATTCACCATTTGTGGGATTCTCAATTCTCAATTTTTGCCACACTTTCATCTGGATGCCAGCAGTGAAAAAACAGAATAAAACCGATGCGCGACTGGACCAGGTTGTCCATTAGAAAGTTGGCCAATTGCACTTGCAGCTGCATTTGTTGACTTTGACACTCTGTCTGAGCGGTTGGGCAGTGTCTGCTCCTTTTATAGGTGGGGGAGTCTCGTTGCCATTCAATCAATTTGCCTGTCCACATTCGGTCGCTGTTTGTTTTCAAATTGCACCAATTTGCCAGCAAGTCGGGCCTCGTCTCACCTCAGTGCCTGTGCCTGTGCCTGTGCCTGTGCCAGAGCAGCTCCAGGCCCAGCACACCCACACAGAGCAGAATCGATCCCAGTAGCAGAATGAACAGTGGAGTGGCATACTCCAGGCCCACGGCCACCGAGTGATTATGCTGATAGCAATGGAGTTTGGTACGCATCCAGTAGCGTTCGTGCTTGAAGTGGATTCCCGTCTCCTGCATACGCAGTTCACTGGAAGTACATAAATGGAATAGACTTTAGAGCCCAAAGGATCCTTTTGGCTGCTCTTACTTTAATCTAAAGAGTTCCGCATAGGGGCAGCTCTTGAGTACCACGCTGTGGGTGTGGGAGGCATCTCGCAGTGGTATCTCGTTCAGCTCACAGATCTGATGGGGCAGAAAGTATTTCCGCACAAACTCGTAGGCCGTGGCCACTCCGGCAATGTAGACGAATCCCTCGCTATCGCGCACCCTCTTCACACCCGCCTCTGTTTGCATCCAGATGCGATCGGGCGATTGCCTGCTGCCTGCTGCCACCTTATTCAGGTACAGACTGTGCACGTCCGGCTGATCGGAGGTGGTCACGTAGACCTTCGTGTAGGGTGTCGGCTCGATGGCCACCTCCAGGCTGCTGTCCGCCAGCTGCTGCAGCGTGCGGATGCTCGACTTGGCCGGCTGCCCCAGCAGCTTGGACACCACAATCGATGTGTAGTAGTTGTACATGAGGAAGGAGGTCAGCATCAAAGCGTAGAAGGCCATGCGTCCGCCCGTGGAGCGTGGCGTCATCCAGGCACCCTGTATGCAGCCAGCCCCAAAGGAGATGAGGCAGCTGGTCAGCAACGAGGGTTTCCATTCGCTGACTCGTTCCATGCGGAACGTAGCCCAGAGCATGCAGCCGGCAACAATCAGCAGCAGGCCGAATGTCAGCCAGACACCAGCGCTGAAGGGCTGCAGGAACTCGGTGGCACTCAGGCCAGCGGACACCGATCGCGGGTTACGGAACATGCACACATCGCGAAAGATGCTGAACTTGGTCAGGGGCTTTATGAACAGAGCCCGCTCAAAGGAGTAGATGAAGGGAGCTATCGATAGATCAGCCGCCTCGGTGATCAAGTCACCGATCATGCCGCCCGTCACATTGCCATCGTCTGTCCAGCGATCACGAAAGATGTACTCAAAGCTGAGAGGGAGAAGCGGAAACCCCTGTGGTAGATTGTGTTTCTAATAGCTCTCTAAATTTCTCACCTGCAGTCCAGCATTTCACGGAGTGGCTGACGCGACTGGTAGCCTAGTCGGGCGTATGTATCGAGATGAATCTGGTCTCTGGTTTCCATAAACGCGAGAATTTTCTCCTGCGAGGTATTCAGAGGCAAAGAGTTGACCTTTGGGTGGATCTAAAATCAGATAAGGACCAGCAATGGATTGGGCGAACTACTCACCGCTGCTGTGGCTCTCATGATCAATCCAGTTAGAGCCTTTCGATGCTGCAGTCGAGCTCTGGCATGCAGATCACTGAGATATCGTTGGACACGGCACTCCACACCCTGGCAAACAATCTCCTGGTCCACTGTGATGTTCAGCTTTCCGCCCAACTGTCTGCCCTTGTTGTACACATCGTAGAGCGTCACAGTGAAGAGGGAGCTGCTGAGAGAAGGCTGGGCATAGGTCACATCAGCATCGACAAAGAGTTGCGCCTCCCGGAAGAGAGTCTCCATTCTGGAGACACTCGGCTGACGATCGTAGATGAGCCAGTGATACCGATGGCTAAAGAGTTTCTTTTGGCTGGCCTGTCAAAATGGAAACAAATCAGATTTAGAAACCGAAAATTATCAAATACTTGCCACTTCTAAAATACTCTCGCTTTGTCCACAATTGCTGTCCATGAAGACGCCCAACTTGAGCACATTGTGACTGAGGAGTTGAACCTCCAGTGGAGTCCTAGTGCTGAGGTCCTCGAATTGTGTAAAGACATTTCGCGTGTTGGCTAAGAGTGCAAAATGTGCGAGGGCTGTGCATAAAGAGTAATAAAAATGAACTAAAGAAGGAACTAATCGATTTGATGTCAGGACTACTCACATTCCCCTGACCAACAGTGCAAGATCAGGACATGATTTATCTTGGCCATGTGCAAAAGATTATACAACATGAAACTGTGCAATTCCCACATTTCTACGAGTTATTTCTATCAGAAAACGAAACCAAAACTAGACCAGAATTAATGAGCTAGATTACCAATTCACAGAGGTTTATATATGAGCCAAGCATAATGCGACATAAGCAATCAATCAATCAAGTAGGCGGATGTATAATGCATATCGGAATCAGTTAAAGAATAGTCCCAGCTATCGTATTTTTCCACTGTGGAATTCCATTCTTAGCACTCTGGTGCACAGTTGAAAGTCCAAATCAAGTTCTTAGCCCCAATACGCTCATCGTTTTGGCCTAGCCCTACATGCACTTGACAACCTTAACTGACAACTTAATAGGAATACTCGAATTACAGGCATGCCAATTCGGACATGCATGGATTGGACTGAGTTGGATAATAACCGGGCTTAAGCGATACAATTTTAGGTCGGGATATCCACTCCTACTTCTCGTACTTACGCGATTAAATATAGTATTTTGTTCGTTGATTTTTTGCTGTTTCACTGCTCGTGGGGCAAGAGATTGCTGCCCAGAGTCAAGGTCTGTCTTTCAGTTCGTTTCCAGGCCAGTTCCAAGAGTAGAATGAGCAGAGCCATGAAATACGCAACCAATAGGGAGAGAAAGAGTGGAGCAGCGTACTCCATTCCCACTTGGATGACAAAGCTGTTGGTGTAGGTCTGCAGCCTGCTTTTGGTGAAGAAGCGCCGCTGCTTTGAGATCAGGCCACACTCGACAAAACGAATCTCGAGCTGGCTGATCAGCTCCCGATAGCTGCTGTTCAGGTGGATCATGTGGTAGACGGCGCCTTCGTACCGCAGCAAGATCTCATTGAGGTCAGAGATCTCCCGGGGCAGATAGTGTTTCTCCACATAATGATACATGAAGGAAGCCTCTGAGATGTAGACAAATCCAGGCTGATCGCGCACCTTGATCACACCCTCCTCCGGCTCATACCAGACGGTCGAGGGATCCCGCTTGTTCTCCACCTTCTGCCTGTACAGGCTGCGTATATCCGGACGGGGCGAGGACTGTGAAGGAATTATTGTATAGAGATTCCACACTCAGGAGATAACTTACCGTCAAATATGCTTTGGTAAATGGAACATTATCGACGCCCACATCCAGGGAGCTGTCCGCCAACTGTTGCACGGTCTTTATGTTGGAGCGCACTGGGGATCCGAGGAGCGTGGATACCACAATCGAAGTGTAGTAGTTGTACATGAGGAAGGAAGTCAGCATGACGGCAATGAATGCCAGTCTTCCACCCGTGGACTTGGGCAGCAAGTGGGAGCCCTGTATGCAGGCAGCACCCAGGCTGATCAGGCAGCTGCTGAGCAGGGAAGGCATAAACTCCAGACACCGCTGCATCCCGTGCTGTTCCAGGCGAAAGATCAGCCACAGCAGGCAGCCGGCAAGCATCAGCACAGCCCCAAAGGCCAGCCAGACGCTGGGCTGGAAGGGCTCCAGGAACACGGTCGCCTTGATGCCGGCATTGTGTGGCGTACGAAACATGCAAACGGCTCGAAACTCGGCCAGCTCGGCCATGGGATGAACGTAGTGCATGCGGTCCCAGCTGGGAGTAAACGGAGTGCTGCACAGCTCGACCGACTCATTGCCCAGCAAGCCGATGGCTCCGCCATATGCATCCTGGATGCTCCACTCACCCACCCAAATGTAGCTCAAGCTGAAAACGAATAGAAACCTCAAAGGAAGGGCTTGAGACTTGGCAAGAACTCACTTGAAATGGAGCATTTCTTGCATATGCAGGATGAGGCGATGGCCCATACGTGAAAAAGAATCCAAATGGGCATCCTGCTCGCTGTTTAGGAATCCCATAAGAATATCCTCCTTGGAAGTGAGCGGCAACACAGAGACCTAAAGATGAATATATAAAAAAGAAATGCATTGCAAAATACAACTATTTTTGTTATCCCCCACCAAGGCAGCCATTCGAAGGGTGATGTTGGTCAGATCCATGCGCTGCTGCAGCCGCGTCCGCTCGTGCAGATCGCTGAGGTGGTCCCTGACCCAGCAGCTGCTGCCATTGCACTGGACACTCTGATCAATGGTTATGTTGAGCACGCCACCCAAGTGGCAGCCTTTGTTGTAGACATCATGCAACACAAAGAGTTCTCCTTCGTCCTCCTCCTGCCGCTGCTCGATGAAGGTCACATCGGCATCCAGGCTGATATTGGCACGGACAAAGAGCTCGGCCAGATTCGAGAGGTTACCCATTTGATCGAAAAGCAGCCAATGATAGCGACGGTTATAGAGACGGGCACGACTGGACTGCAACGAACAGAATTATGAAGTAGGAATTAAATGGCAATGCCTCACCTTATTTGTTATGAAATCCGCAAGAGGACAACCCAAGTCCAGGAACACAGCCATTCTGGGGACATCGCTTTCGCTGTCCAAGTAGTCCTTGTGTATGTTGGCCAAGCCTTCAGCATTCTCTTGCAGTTCAATATATTGCGAATAGATGTGGCTCTCACTCATCATCACAGCCAAGGGATAGGCGTCTAGAAAATAACGAAGTATAAATGGAAACAAATAAATTTGTGCATAATTTTGCTTTTGCTTACCCGGCCTCGACCAGCAGTGGAACACCAAAACATTTCTCAAATTGATTTCCAGCAAATTGAACACCAACAGGCGATAAAGTGCCAAGTTTGTCGTCATCTCAACTTGAAGGCTTCTTCCGATTTCGATTTCAGGCAGGCGGCTGCCCCTTTTATAGAGCCCAAAAATTGGGCTGTCCGAAATGTAAGCCAATTAAGTCATTTGGCTTCAACATTTGCCTTGAATTTTGATTGACAACACAGCTAATTTTGGGCTACCTATTCCCAAAAATTCAGAAGCAAAGATCCAACAGGTGTCCCCCAAAATGTGGGGGCGAGATAGGAGCCTTCGCAAAGACGCAGTGCGCCTGCGCAGGCTTGGGGGCAACGTAAACAAAAGTGCAAGTTGGATTTATGAATGAAAAGCCAGAAAAGCAGACGATGAGGGGCGGCAGTTCCTCTGTATGTGGACCCCTCCTGGTGCTAATGGATTCCTCAGCCGGTTGTGGGAGAATGGCAGCGCCGCTGGCTCTAGTGATTTTGCGCCTTTTGCATGTCCCATGTCCATCTCCTTGTCGATGAGTGTGTGTGTGTGTGCGTGCCTGTCTGTTGGTGTCGCTGTTTGTGCCCCATGCTGCGGGATATCCTGCCACAACGCAATAGCGCCATTCAATCTTCAGGCACGGGCATCGCTCTGCTCCCAATATCGTTTTGGTCTCGGCTTGGCTCAGTTTGCGTTGCGCGCTTGGCGCGTCTCGACGTACATCTGACATTCCGCTCCGGCCCAAAGCGCATCCTTTCCTTTCGACTTCGTTATGTTTTGTTCGATTGGTTTACTTTTGTTGACATTAACAATAGCTCGGGGCACTCCAGCATCTCAATGCAGGAAGAATCCAAGTAATATGTGGAATAAACTCCAAAAACGCCTTCAAGGGAAATGAAATAATTGAAAATGTAAAGCTCTCTTTATGGAACGGAATTCATAAATAGATAAAGTTAAATGGAATAAATAATTAAGTAGCATACAATCCTGAAGTGAATAAGTGATATTCTAACTACATAAATGAATTAAATTATTAATAGTTAATGCGAAATAAAAACAATAATTTGTACAAATAAGTTTAATTAAAATACTTCAAAGTTCGAACCATTTAAAAGTGCCAAAAGTTTGCTATTAGCGATTCTAATAAGAAATTCGAAATGTTACATAAAATAATGCATAAATAATAAAAAATATAAAAAATAAATCGTTCAACTATTACAATTACTTTTTAATTGAAGTAAATTACTAATAATTATTTGTTACACGATTTACTAAAAGTGAAAAAAGGAAGCCTGTTTTCTATAAATTCAACTGTGCAAGAAAAACAATTTCTCGAAATGATACCTACAGGAACTTATCTAATTTCAATCGAATAGTCATCACAACGTGGCGTATGCGTAATTATCGAACAAAATAATTAAAGCTGCTTCTGTCCTTCTGTTTGTTGTCGAAAGTTTCAAGTGAAAAGCGAATTGCGTAATTTGAATTCCTGCCTCGCTAATGGAGGAGCCATCCAGGCGTATACGTAATTTTCACTCAATCCGACGGAGACAAAAAGCGAGAGAGAGAGAATCGTCCACTCTGTGCAGCTGTTGGGGGAATCGCATAAAACTTTGATTATAGCAAAACATAAATCCGTTTGTTCTTTGAAACCATTCAAATGCTCGGCTTGCCATCTAATTGAACTGTCAAACTATAATTGCCTCCATCTGCATCCTTTCAGCCACATGCTCTGTCCCAGCCATAGCCAAAGCTGTCCCGCCCTCATCTATCGAACGGCAATTAAACTGTCTAAATCAACTTAATTAACTGGGCCTGTACAAATAATTCGAAATAAAATGTGTTCCACAACAAAATAAATCAGTTTCTGTCCAACATTTTACGATTATAAATAAATTTCCAGATATGTTCTGGGCCTCGATGAACAAACCCCAAATGCACACATTAAAAATCAATTGAACTTGTGGTCCACTGGAAAATGCCCACAAGCCACAAATATGGAATTTTTTATGGCAAGTTCGGGGTAGGGACACTGCAGCAATAGAGTGCAAATAAAATGCAATTATCGCTGATTTAAACGGGCATTAGAGACTTATAAATTTACCATGAGCTCCCAATGGTCGCTCATATGCGGGATGGATACAATTGTACTCTTGCTGCAGAGAGAGAGAGAGAGAGAGAGAGAGAGAGGGAGAAAAGGGTTGAGAGAAAGGGAGAGGGAGAGGGAGAGATGGGTATTCTGGTCACCAGAGGATTTTCTGTTCAACCCGCAGAACGAATTATTAACAAAAACTATTTACTAAGGGAGTCAGCTGATTCGGAATGCCAGATGTGGATAAATCCCCCAACTCTGGATTTATCTCTGGTTGTGGAAATGAACCAGAACCAGGGACAGGTAGAGCGTAAAATGATTTAACATAAATAAACTCAAAAAGATGGAGATTTATTCAAAAGTTAATGAACATGTTGCTAAATATTTCGAGCAATAATTTCAAGTGATTCTGGGGAGTGTTGGATTACATCAATTATTATTCTGTTTTATCAAATTTAAATTCAATTTTCTGGTTATAATTCTTTCTAAATGAATCTGTGAAGCAAAACCGTTTAACTCAAGCAAGTATCTAAGCTAACAAAAAAATGTAAAAGTGTAAAAAAACAGACTACATACATAGATGTAAATCATTCCAATTCACTTTCTTTCCGCTTCAATATTTCTTAGTTTTAAATTCCAACCGCAACATAAGGCGCTTGGCACACAGTTTTTCAGAGTATTATTTTTGGGTTGCTTTGCCTTCTTTGCTTTGAAAGGATCTCAGTTTTTCATCTTTTATTTTTTTTGGCAGCTTGTGACTTTTTTTAACGCTTCACGTTACAAAAAAAAATCTCTTCACTAGAAAAAATGCAAAGCACAAAAAGCAGCAGCAGCAGCTGCTGGGGCATCGCACTCTTGAGATTTACATTGTAAAGTGATTCGGCGGTCCTTCTTCCACCGACATAAAGTTATATATATACATATACATATGTACACATAGTTGTATATGATACACAGGCGCGCAAAAAACTGCATTTAAATTAATTGAATTTTGTAGATTTTTGTTGTTGTGGGACTGGCCCCCCTTCTATTGCTCTTATTGGATTGGTTTGGGTTTGGGGTTTGGGGACCTGCCAGTTGACCCACAAGTCAAGTTTGCGGCGTGTCTGAGGGCAGCACCGCCACCCAGAAGTTTACTTAAGCGTCGTCCGAATGCATTTTGTGTGTGTGATTATAGCACGGAGTGGGGTTCGGTGGAGATGGAGGCTGTTGCAACTGCGTTTCTGGCTTTTCCGATTTTCCATGCCTGTTTTTTGCTTTACATTGTTGGTTTGCATTTGCGTTCATTAAATTTGCAAGTAAGTTGAAACGTTTTTGTTTACTGCTGCTGCTGCTGCTGGCTGGCCCCTGTGCTTTGGTGTCTACTGTGCCGACTAAATGGAATTTCTGGAAATTATATATGAGCCTAGTTTTCAATAGAATCACATAGATCTCAATTGGTTTACCAAGGACTTTCCCAAAGATTCAATGATTAATTTAAGGATTTTCTACTGTTTCGACTCCAAAGTGAGTCTGGTTTATTTTATGAAATGTTTCCAATGCCGGAATACTTCTAATCCATTTCGAAGCTTAGCACTGCTCAAAGCTCTTAAAACTTCAATCATTTTCAAGTCGATTTTTCTGCTAGTTTTGATTCAATAATCGTGCGAGTGGTTATCAATAGAATAGATTAAGTATTAGCTCGAGTCTTCACGTGTCCTCGAACAAGGGAACCCACTTAGCAGAGACAAGAGCAAACATTTGTGCATTATAATGCTCCGGACCCAGTGCCAGATCCAGAGCTAAGCGATTCAAGTTGCATTTCACGCTTGCCTAATCCTCGTCAGCTCTCTGTTGGGTAAACATTTCCGCAGAACGTGAGCCAGTTTGGCGGCATGGGAAGAGGAACAGAATGGAGGGTATGCTGAATGCTGGGGAGTGGATTGCTGAATACAGCTGGGTAGGAGGGCTCGTGCCTGTCGCTCAACTGTGAAATAATTAGAACAATTGCATTGGCCCTAGGCCATAGAGATCGCAGTTGGGGCCAACGTAAGCCGCAAACGCGAGTGACATTTATGAATTGCATTTAATTAAATTGTGATTTTTAGTTATACTTAAGTTAACTAGAAAACTTGGGGCAAGCTCTGGGCAAACCAATTTCCACACGCAATGCGACACAAAAAACGTAAATTCCAAATGCTTAGGCAAAGAAACGAAACTGTACTCATTTGCAGTGTCGGGCAAAGAGCAAATAATAATGCCAGCTGCCGCCACCGAAGACTAGCCATATAAACCACCTGCTGCTGGATAGATGCTGCCACAAAATATAGAGAGACGAGACGACTCTGTAATGCACGTATAGGCGGCAGATGCCTGCCACATCAACGAACAGAATAACTGAAAGGGCAAGTCGTTGGTTGGGTGGATTCAGATTAAGAAATCCAATGCGCCACTTGCGGATACCCTTTTATAGTGCACTACTACTAATTATAGAATTTTAATTAAAGATCAATGTGGAAAGAATTTTCTGAGCTCACGAAACTTTAGTCAAAGTTGAAGTTGTGGGCCAACCCCTTATACTCCTTAAGTTGCTAATGAGTTTTCCTGCTTTACCTTGGGCACACACACATCTAGGCGTTGACTCTTCCATCAAGTTACAATCAATCATCGCAAATTGGCTGACAGTCTCATGCTCATACCCTCTGCATACCCTCTTCATGGTATATGGACACCAACACCAACGCCTCCTCCAACAATGCATTTCCACCAAAAACAAAAAAAAACAAAACCAAAACGAAATATTCCTTAGACCTAGACCAGCACGCGGAGTAGGATGTTAGCAGGCAGGACTCACGCGACGGGGACGGGGACGGGGAAGGCTACGAGAATGAGTAGGAAGAAGAGCCGTCAGCAGCCTTCAAAAATTGAGTGCAATTTCGACGACGTTGATGAGAAAATGCGTTGAACGTGCTCAAGTTGTTCTCTCTATTGTCGTGGGTCCACCCAGAGCGGACTGTTCCTCCCACATTTAACTTAAACCCGTTCTTGAACCAG